CGGGGTTTGGGCTTGGCGGGGGTCCGGGGGAGCTCAGGAAGCTGCCGCAGGAGCCTTGGCTGTCTTGGCGCTCGGTCTCCCTTCTCCAGGAGGGCCGGTGCCAGCAGATTGCTCCTACACAGGGTGTTTATCTGGAAGGAGCGGTGTTAAGATTATGAGCAAAGCCTCCCAGGCAATTTCATGCTTTTGCTGGAATGGTTTTGCAAGTGTTTATGTTGGAAGGAAATGGTTCTGCTGAGGAAATAAATTCTCTGTGTGTGGGGAGGGAGCAGGCATTTGGTCTTCTGGCTAGCTAATGTGGAGAGGGACCATCGCTCACAGGTGTGCTGGTCACTTCTTAACCAGCGGCACAGCTCGGGCTCGCTCTCCTCCAACAACCAGCGGAGGAGGGAGAGCTTCCAAAGGTAACCTGCCAGCTCCAGATTGTTACCCTGCTCCAAAAATAAACTGTTCTGAGTGTGACGTGATGGCTTGGTTGCAAAATGCATTAGTAGCTCTCCTGGGGAGCCTGACAGGTTTGCATTCATCATCTCGGAGCAGAGACCGGCCCAGTCTCCCTCGCTCCGCAGATGCGTGTTTGGTGTCAATGGCACCCTTTGGAGCTGACCAAACTGGGGATCTCTGGGCTGTCATATCCTGATATAGCAGCTCTTGTGCCTCTCCATGTGTGGATCTGTTCGCTCCTGCGAAGCTACAGTTGTTCAAAGACTCTCTCCCAGGGAGATCTGAGCTCTGTAAAAACTCTGCCCTGGTAAAGATAAGCTGGCATGCTAAATTCAGCTGGGAATTGTCTCGGAGGCGAAGGTAGAGTGCGTGTGCTGGAACATGGTGTTCCCGTTAGCTGCACCTCTGGACTAAACGTTTGTGTTTCTGTTTGTAAAAAGGAGTCGCATCCTGCTGTCTCCTGGTGAGTTGAGGGGTGGCCCCTGGGAGCAGCACACCTGGATTTTAAGGATTCACGGTATGTTTTCTTTTCCTTTTTCAGTCTCATGCAGTGGTTTGACACAGCACCGAGCCGGACTTGCCCGCAGTGCAGAATCCAGGTAAAACCATCACCCATGTACGCCTCTGTCTTTCTGTGGCACGATGCTCTGCAAACGGCACCAGTGAGCTGTGGCCTAGGCCTGTGGTGATATGAGGAAAAGGCTTGTGGTAGGAAGCAGAGAGAGTTTTCTGTCACTTGAGGCTCTCCCCAAAGGTCTGGAGGGTGAACTCCCCTCAGCAACCTTTCTGATCAGAAGGGATGGTCTGAGGGTGCCCTGCTGCTGTCCGTATTGTAGCTTCTCTAGAAAGGGTCTCTGGGTTTTCATGGCTTTTATTTAGGCTGGGTAAGTATTGGCATAATGATAAAGGGCTGGAAGGCATTAATCAGGACATCTGACTTGTGTTTCTAGAGTACCCTGCTGCTTGCTATCAGGTAAGCAGCCTGTTCTGCTGCACGTGGTCCTTATAATTGAGTCCTTGCTTTGCAGTACTCGGCCCTTCCTTGAGAAAAGCAAAGGCTGGGGAGGGAGGGAAGGATGTGCTCTGCTTCTGAGATGGGAAGCCAAGGCTTGGGGATCCAGTGGCTTAATCGGGACCTGAACTTCTTTGAAGTCCGTTGTGTCACCAGCCTTGATGCTGCCAGTAGGTCTTAGCATGTAGCAGCTGCAGGAGATGTTGCCTCACACTCAGATGTAGGCTTTTAGCCAGCTGCAGCTTGGGCTTGTTCTGTGTTCGTGCTTCTTTCTTCCTCTCAAGGTCTTGGCCCTTGTTCCTTCCCTGACTTGTTGATTCCCTCTGTTCTTCACTGCCTCTTACATCTCTGGGTTACCATGGAGTTATCGCGAAATAACATCTTATGTAGCAGTAACTATGCAATTAGCTGGTGTCATGACTGTATATAATACTTAAAACACAAAGCTGTAACTGCATGGGGGAGGTGTGGAGAGCTATCAAATTCAATTACAGCACCTTCTGCCTGCAGAAAGCAGCACGTACTTCTGTCTTAGGATTTGGCATCATGTTAGCTCAGCGTCAGCTGCTTCGGCCTTAGCTGCCAGAGAACAGACTGCGCTTGATTCAGAAATGTCTGAATCTTTCTGCTGTGGCTCAGGAGCTTGGCTGGAGTCGCGCTCCTAAAAATTGAGTGGGGGGTCCGCTGCTGCACTGATGAGCTGAAGCAGAGTATCGTTGCTAATGGTGTCAAGCATGTGATCTGACTTGCCTTTCATGGCCTTGTGACGAGATGGTACCTTCTCCCCCTCCATCTGTCTTGCATGTCCATTGTGTTTCCATACCTGTGCCCATCAGCCTCTTCTGTCTCCTGTGTTTAGGTCAGCAAAAGACACATCATCAATAAGCTGTTTTTTGATGTTGCCCTGGAGGAGCAGACAGCACCGGATGCAGAGACCTTGCAGGTAATTTGACTGGGTGGTTCTTCCGTTGTGAGATGCTTTGGCATCTTGAAAGTGCGGCCTGGGCCGCTGGTCCTCTGCCAACAGCCGCTTCCTGGGCTGGTGCTCGCCGTGCTCGTGTTTCAGACCTGAAGCGCATCAGCGTCTCCTGCCTGTCTCTGTTCGCCCTCTTGGTCCTTGCCCAGTCTCAGCTCTGTTGTAAGGAAGTCTCCGTGTGGTGGTTGAGAGTTCCCCCTGACCAAATCTCATGTGGTGACTCAAGAAGCCTCCTATACTTCTCTGCTCTTCCTTCTGGTTCTCACCTGGTTTCTGGGTACAGAAACCTCCTGAAGCAGCATCAAATAAACATCCAACTGCTGCTTCTTCCTTGGGTCTCAAAGCCTTGCGGATGAGGCTACAAAGCTTTTTCCAAAAGGCAGGAGAAGGAAATCCCAAATGCAGTGAACTGCTGCCGGTGTCTGTGGCTCAGTTGCATGCGAGCCCTGCTAACCCCTCTGGAAAGAAGGGGCTGTTAGAGGAAGTGCCACCTCCTCCCTTCTCTGCAGGTAGGTTTGTTTGCACAGACTGTAAGGAAGTTATGCAGGGTGGTGATAAAGTCTTGGTTCCCCAAGATAAATTAGGAAAGGGGCTGCCTGAAGCTGCACCAGCAGTGGTGGACAGTGCTGAGGCTGGGTCCTTGTGGGAGGAAGCTGGCAGGAGCTGGGGTGCTGGGTGATGTTCTCCAAGTGCCACCCTTGGGTGTGGAGAGCTGGGGGTGAGAAGAGATGAACGCAGAGCGGCTGTTCTGTGTCCTCCTCCTCTGTTTAGTGTGGATGAAGCGTGGCTTCTTATGTCTTGGAGTTCTCTCTTCCAAAAAAAAAAGTAATTGGCTGACCTTGGTATAACGGGACGCTTGTACCCTCTCGTGTTTAGAATCAGCATGTGCAGCAATTACCATAATTAGCAGTTGCCATGACAATGCTATATGTATATCGTATGTTTTTAAAATAAAGCCAGCCAGACTATAATGTCATTCCTGAAGACTGCTAATAAAGAAACTGAAGGCCAAAGTATGTGTGCTGAGGAAATGAAAAAGCATCTCTGGGCACTTGAAGCTGTGTGCCCTAGAAGCAAAGTAATGGCTCGGAGTGGATAAACATTGCCTTTACATATTCAGATCTGTTCTCGCAAGTGTAAATAGATGAGTGACTCAGAAATGGGTTGACTGGAGAAAATTGCCCTAGAAAACCTTTCTGCTCCCTCTCACCCCCACCCCAGGATCTAAGATGGGTTCCCCCAGCCTTCCCCTGCTGGCAGGCTGTGCTGAAGAACAGCTCCCTTCCTCGAGGGCAGGACTGCGGAGCTGCTCCTGCACAACAAGCTTGATGGTAGCTCATCGTGCTCCTACAAAGTTTGTTGTGTGGCCATCAGAGCAATATCTAGCCCTGAGTGTGCAGCTTTCCTAATGAGAGCGCTGAGGTCACTATCTAATGGGAAAGAACCAAATATTTTCTGTGTAGATTGGCGTAGTTGGTTTGTATGGGTGTTTACTGCCCTGGGCACTGATTCAGGTTGCTGCTGGTTTATCACCAGTTCCATGTTGTGTCCTGCCTTGTTTCTGGAGGACATGGAGCACCTTAAGAATGTGGGTGGCCATTGTGGGTGGGATTTAATGTCCATTTAGACTGGAGTTCTGTCTGCAAAAAGAATTGGTTACTTCCTCAGCCAGAAGTGATTTCACCTGAAAAAGCCCCTAAATCTAGGGTTTGTTGCCAACCATTGCCTGTCCCTCCAAGAGCCTGGGTGTAGAGTGGTACTCAGCTCTGCAATCAGCTGGAGCTGTATCTCTGCAGCCCGCAGATGTCCTGAAATGAGTATTTGGCCTCCTGCCATGAGAAGGTTGGACTGGGGCAAGGGAATATGCTTCAGTGTGCTAGGAAGCAGACTGCGTAGCTGTGGTCCGCTTGTCATCTTGGGGAGACAAGCTTGGGATGGTCTTCTGAGAACCAGTCATATCTACCCAATTATAAGTGGTCAGAAGAGTTCCTTCATAATCTGAAACCTCTTCCTGTTGTTGCAGAATTATCCAAATTATCTTTTGGATAATAATTGCCTTTGGTGCTATTCCTCACTCCTGCTTCTGCTCCGAAATGTTTGCAGTCAAAGGAGTGCTGGAGTTGCTTTGCTTCCCACCACCAGGCATCAGTTTCAACTGAAACACCAGAGGGAACTTGGTTCCCTGGAGTAGCTGTAGACCACAGGCTGAACGCTGCAACATGTCCAAGCGTTTCTGGGTGCTGAGCCTGGGTTTATCCTGTATTGCTCTTAAAGATGGTTCTCAGTGATCAGAACAGTCTCCATGCGACTGTTCCTAGAGCAAGAAAAGTGTGAGTTTTGGGGTGTAACACCTCGGTGAGGCTGTCTGGAACCCGACACTTCTAGTTGCTTGTGATCTGGGAGCGGAGAGCTTGTCTTCTGAATGCAACTCAGAAACTTCGGCTTGTTCAGCTTGGCAAAAAGGAGGCAGGAGGAGGAGGATTCCTGCCTGCAAACCTGCTAGGGAGGGTAGAAACCTGGGAGGACAGCTGTCTGTGGTCAGGATATACTCATTTGATCTTAGGAAACTGTGGTCTTGGAGCTCAGGCTGGCAAAGAGAGGAGGGCTTCTATCAGAGGAGTGAAAACTGGGAGAAGCCTTTAGGAGCAGTGGTGGAGGATGAGGGACTTCAGATTAAGTTAATGAATGAGGTAATGTTACATAGCTGCCCGCAGTAGCCCAGGACTTCTTTGCTATCATGCTAATTAGCACATCTTGTGAGCTCACTAATCGTTCCTAAATAGGACTCTGAGGAAGCTACTCCAGAATAGTTCCTGCAGCAGAATTAATTCCATGTCAGCCCTTCAGCTGTTGTCCCCACAGGGGTAAATCCAAGTCAGCTCTGCTAGGCTTTGCATTTGGTCCCTTCTGCTTACTGAGCTTTATGTCCCATGTTCTCTTTCCTGCCTTTATTGACACTAGCAGAGCTTTGCTCTGGTCCCGTCAGATCCATGGCCACTGGTGCTGCTATTCTCAGCTCAGATTTGCATGTAACATTCTGGGTTGCACAGATTTGTGTGCTTTGCTTCAGTACTGTGTTGGCATTTTATTGTGGTTTTATTCCACTGCAGTTCCTGCCTGACTTGTTATGTGCTTTCCTCTGCAGTTCTCTAACACAGCATTTTTAAGTCATCTTCTGTTGACTCTTTCCTGTCTATATTTCTCTCTCTATTTTTTTACATATATACACATATATATTTATATATTGGCCTTCTTTGTAACCCCTGTATACTGCCTTTGGCTATTTGCCAGTGTCCATAAGTCATATCACTTCATTATCTGTAATTTAAACTATGGGGCATTTGCTGCCTCTTTCTGATCCTTGATGAAAGTGCTAGAAACATTTGACCTTCCCCAGATGTTATGTGCCCTCAGTTTGGTATGGATTGGTTTATCGGTGACCCGTTTATGGCCATTTGATTGAGCTGCTAGCTTATATCAGCATTCCAAACTGCAGTGACTTCAGCGTCCGTCAGAACGCTAGCTGGTGCCTTTTGACTGTATGCTTGGTTACCTTTTCAGACATTTGGACGTGCCCTCCTGTCTCCCACCTGCACCTGATTGAAGTTCACTTCAGTTCAAAGCAACTCTCAATCCAGTTAGTCTGGCAACATCCCTGCCTTATTGCCTTGTTTAGGTAAAACGTTACAAAAATTGTTCCTGTCTGATTTCCTGTGTTTCCCCGAGAGCCTTCCAAAATTATTCAGCTAAAACAAGATGACTGACAGTGTGAGAAACACAAGGTTGACAGGGCTAAGACAAAACTGAGATCTTTTCTTCTCCCCCTGAAGAATGCCAGTTGGAGGTGCTCTTTCCGTTCCCTGTGATAGTACTTGCTTGTAACTTGGAGCTTGCTGTTACTGCCTTCTCTTCTTAGCACCTGGCCAGTGCAAATGTCCTGCTGAGAAACCTCTCGCGTCCTTTTAAGATCTGATGAAAGCTCCTCTGCAGGACGTTTCCTAATCGGGTTTTCTGTGTTGTATTTCAGAATGAACTGGACAAGGTGAAGGCTCAGCTCTCTGTGAAAGGTGAGTTCCAGCAGCCAGTGGGCGATTGGCAGCCCGTGACTGGCAGGTCCTGGGCTCTGCCTGTGCTAGGTGGCTTGCCCAGGCCTGAGGAACCCCTGTGCGGAGCCCACTGCGGGCATAGTGCAGGCTGCAAACTGTTTTGCTGGAGCAGCTTCTTCAGAGCTTTTTCTGGGGCGAGACCACCTGAAGCTGTATAAAGGTTGTGTGACAGAGCCAGAGTCCACAGCCTGGCCCAGCTCTGCTGTAACTGCGGAGCTCTCTGCAAGTTTAGAGACACATGCAATTTTTTGCCCCTCCACCTAATCACAAGCTACAAAAGTGCGGCACAGCTATATCTGGAGCAGGCTTGCTGAAAGCAAAACCCTTGGTTTCCTCACTGGGAAACTCACAGCTGCATATGGCAAAGGCTTGTTCCTTCTAACAGATGAGGGGGTAAAAGTGGTGCCCAAGCAGCAGTGGGAAGGCTTTGGATTTGTTTGGCTGTTGCAGTGCCACATGTGTCGCGCGAAGAGCAGACGGAGTTCAGTGTGTGTGTGCTTCCATTTTCCCATCTTTAATTTTAGAGGATGTTTGAGGGAGGCAGGAAAAGCAAAAGCCCTGGAGACTTGTCGATGGGTTTTAAGCATCATCTGTAGGCAGCCTGTCATCAGAACATGAGTCATGAGCAGCGAAAGGAAAATGTCAGTCTGAGTGACAGAAATCCAAAGACACACTAGCAAAAGGGGGAAAAAAAAATCTTTAAAGAATGCTGGGGGCTCACCCACGCCCTGAGAGTCGTCTTTCCTCTGCCTTCCCTGTGTGCACGAGACAGACATGAATAGCCAGTAGATTGAGGATTCAGTCCTTAGCCTGAGAACAGAATTGGATGGTCTGCATGTCTCTATTCTGAGGCTTGTTCTCTTGCCAGCTTGGTTGAGTTTAGTGACTTGGTAGAGAGCCAGATCTTCTGGGGAAGGTGGCTGGGATTCTTGCTAGGATGTTATCCAAGAGAAACTGCTTGAAGGCCTGCTCATCTTCTCGACTTCTGGTGAGTAGAGGTTGGATTTGACATTCCCTGTCCCATTCTCTTTTCATATTGGAAATGAGAAGCTCCTTCCCACCTCCTGCCTCCTTTGCTGTGGGCATTCTGCTCTCTGGTGGTTCCTGTGTATAAATTCTTTGCTTAAAGATGTGCTGTAGAGGAGCTGTGTAATTGCCAGTCTCTGATCAGCTTGCAAATGGCTCTAGAGGTGCGGAGCTCTGAGCAGACCCAGCAGGCGCTGTGGGAGGCACTCTGAATGAGCTGAAAACTCATTCCTGCAGCACGGGGAGGCTTGACTCTTGCCATCTGCCTCTGGGCAGCTGGGAACGGAGGAGGGGGAAGCCCTAACTCTTTTGGTGGATGTGGAGTCCCTGAAAATGCAGGGGAGTGTCTCCAGGCTGGTGAGGAAGGGTTATTCAGATCAATGGAGGAAAAATGCTTTGCTAAGAAAGAAATCTGTGTTTCCCTAGCCACCTGCCTGCTTCTGCTGAGATACGTTCCTCTCTTCTTCCCCAGTCCCACATGGCGCTCTCACCGTCTGATCGAGCCGTGAAGCTGCACTGCAGGTCATGCTTCCATGGGATGTGGTGGCACAGTTTGAAACTGGATTGCTTGCAAGGAGAAACAGCTTTTTGGAAAGGCACTGATTTGCTCTCCACTACTGTTAGGCTGGAGCTGTGGATGATTTTAGCACAGACAGAAGATGCTGAGCTGAAGATTTTACCCTGGTCTCAGCAGGGTTAGATGGAGGGATTGCTGCTTTCCCTCATTGCCCAACTGCTTTGAGCTTTTCAGTGTTGCTGGCTGTTCCCTGCACAGGTCTATCAGCTCCTGATGATGGTTCTTGCTTTGTGAGCTGTTCTTCCCTTGTCTCAACAAAACAAATTGAAATCTGATGTTTTCCACTACCTTCTCTCTGGTGGTCAGAGGCATGTGCTTTGTTCCTGGATTGCCTGCGTGGGGAGGGACAACAGGACTCAAGGGCTTTGTGACCTGCAAAAAGTGGGCACTCTGGGGAATCTACTTAAGCTGTCGCATGTCCTGTAAAGTCCCCAGTGCCCAGCAGAGCTCTGCTTTACTGTCTCTTGCCCTTCGACGTAGGTGCTGTGGTGAGGGTAGTTGCAGAAGCATGGTGACGCAGCAGCATGGTGGATCACTGTACGCAGCTTCCCGATGGCCCCCAAAGGGCTTCCCCACATGTGAGGCTCCATGTGGAGAGGATGGGCTGGGGGCTTGGCTCTCCAGCTCTGTGACAGCTCGGTGTAACTCAAGAACAGTTTTCCCTGTGCAAGCCTGGCTGTGAGAGCATGCAAGAGTTAAGATGCATCAGCTTAATGCTAGCAGGGCTGGCACTGGAAAGCTATTAAAGGGAACTTGTTATCTTTAGTAAAGAAAATCTTGAAGCCTGCTGGCACTGGGAAAAGCATTTGCTCAGTACATACCCTGGTGCAGAAGACAGCACTTAGGAAAATGGCTCTCTACAGGAACGGCCAACTCCTAGCAGCCTGGAGCCTGAGACTGCAAGCAGTATCTGTTTGTTGTGCTCCTGCTGCTGTGGGCCAGCTGAAGTCTGGGTTACCGGGCCATGACCTGTCTCTTTTTTTTTTCTTTTCCAGAGAAAGAAAAGCGGGAATGCCAGGCTGTTGTGGATGGGCTGAGGGACACTCTGGATGTGCGCAATGCCACAATAGAGTCGCTCCAGAAGGTGCTGGGAGAGACAGAGATGCTGTGCTCCTCTCTCAAGGTACCTTTCCTGTCCCTGGCAGGACTTCAGTGCTAACCACTGCACAGTCGGTGTTACTTTTGTTGAAGGTCTCCACAGGCCCTGCCAATAAAGAGATTGTGCTGGTGGGATTTTGGATCTGGTGCCTTGAGACTCCCATCTCCTTGGTCTCTGAATGACAGAAGGGCAGTGTAGCTGGGTGTTCATGTTGGGTTTATTAATCCAAAGCGAGTGGTGTCACTGGTCTCAAGCTCCTGAGCTGCTCCACCCGGGGGTGATTCAGAGGCAAGCAACAGGCCTGGCTTTTACAAGTGGCTGCATGCTCAAGGCAGAGGTGGCCGGAGTGAGGGAGAGATGCCAGCCCAGCCTGGGGGATGCTGGCTGAGCCTTGCTAATGAAGCGGCAGTGCTGATTATAAAGGTAGCAGCATAAACCAAGAGTGGGAACTGGCCCCAGCGCCCCATTGCCGAAACACTGGCTCCCTGTGGTAGAATGTTCTTCTGAAATGGGTTTAGGCCAGGCGGGATTCAAGGAAAATTAGTTTTAGTTTGATTGGAGGAGAAATCAAACTGAAATATACGGAGGGGGACTTGCAAGCTTCAGCTGAGTGGGATTTGATCCAGCTAACTCTCTTGTCTCTGTTCTGTTGCCAGGGCTTTCCTTCGGTTAGGTTAGTAATATGTGAAGTCCAGGGATCAAATATTCCTGTTGTGTTTCAGCATGCAGTGACTCAGTGTGTAGTCATGTACTGTGCGTAAACAGCAAGTGGAAGAGGGTAAGAGCAGGAGCTGCTTTGTTGGGATGTCTTGTAGCGAGCAGAGCGACTTTGCCTTAGCGGTGGGCTGGGATAGGCAGTCTCCACTGTGTGAAGATGACGTGCCTGTCGCAAGAAGATGGGGTTGAGGCAGGTGGGCTTGTGAGCTGCAGGCTGAAAGGCAGGGTAGGGGTCAACTGCACTTCCCAAGATCTCTGCCTCTTGGACTATGGGCCTGGCCCAATAGCCTAAACTGCATCATGTTCCTTGACCTGCAAGGCCAAGTGGCCCAGGGACAGCTTGTAGATGGGTTGCTGGGTCATCTTGCTGTATTCCGCCTGCTGCTGGGCTCTTCCTGGGAGGAACCAGTCCAGGAGGTCTGCCTGACACTAGCAATGTGGTGCTGTCACAGGGTGGAAGGAGAGATGGTAAGGAATTAATGCCAGGCAAGCCTTACTGTGAGCCAGCACAACTTTTTTTGCCTGACCATGGGATTATATCCAATCTGCTTGGGTGTAAAGGCAGCCTGAGTCTGTGCCATGCCAGAGATGCTCCTGGGATCCTGGCTATACCAGTGGCAGGATACTTCTGATGCTCCCTACTCCTGCAGAAACAGTTGTGACAGTGGAAGCTGGTGCTTGCTGCTCAACTTAACATCTCTGCGCTTGGCTTTCCTGCCTGGCACCTCAGGAGAAGGCTCTCTGGTTATCTTGCCTGTTGCAAAACCCTCTGGGTATGCTTAAGTCCTTTTAATGAAAGCTGGGCAGGGCAGAAGGATTAGGGACCTGGAGGTATCTTTTCTGTGGTGTACGGGGTTTCCCAGCTGAATGCCAACCACTGTCTTATACTGCATCATTAAAGATTAAAGCACTAAACTTCTGCAGTGAAAATACAGGCTTAACTAGCTGTGACGCAGGTCAAGCCCACAGGCTGCGAGCCATTCCTGTCTCCTGCTAGCACTGTCAGCTGCTGCTGAAACTTTTTC